TTAAAGTAGAATAATAAAGAGGAAAAGAGGATCAAGCTAACGACACACATGGGACGAATGATCCAGCTGTTACATCACGGCTCAATAGGAAACTAATAGCTATAGGCCTATAGGCCCCTATGTAGTGGCAGACGATAAATTATGTAAGGATTTATTCATCAGTCCACACTGATGCCACACACTGATGCATTAGATTAGGCTAATGCTAATTTTTCAAAACCGTGCTGTGTATGGGGCTAGTTTGGTCATATTTTAATAAGAGCATCAATACATAATCTTAAATTAATAATCATAAATAGGATTAATATCAATCTTTATCGTATAGACCTTTCCGCTAAGTCCCGCACCTTGGACTTGAAAATGACTGCGTAAACGTGTACGTAAACTCATTGGTTATGGGATAACCCATGTGTGTTACAAGGCATAATGTGAAGCACACGTTACGTACCATAACTCTCTCACGGAACGCACGCATACACTCGTGCACGTCAGCGACTGGGCATGATAAATAAATTGCTGCCAGCCAGTAGGTATTATTATAAGCAGGAATGCGCATAGGCCCCTATATTTGTTGTGAGACAGAAGCTTAAAGGAAACAGAGTGGGTTTTATTCATGAGATAATTACAGCATTTGAAACATAGACCCTGGTATTGGAAAAGAACAAGCTTGAAGCACAACCCAAACAGAAAGAGTGATATCAACTCAGTCGCCATTGATAATAGAGTAGGCTACTGATGATCATGCTTGCTAAACGTATTCGTTGATATTTCGATATCATTATATATTTTCCATATGTTTAGGGATTATTAGCACTTATAATCAAATATGACCTTTACATACGAACAGCATTACGGATTTGTACTTGTTAGAGTGTACTTGTTATTAGTTTACGCAAATAATTATACAAATTGGCGTGTACGGGATTTGATAATAGAAACGTCTACGCTATGATGGACGTCGTGTAGAGTTTACATGCATAAAATCAGCACCATAGGCGTATTACATCTACCGTATTTAGAGGAGAGGACGGTGTTGTCAGAACACCTAAATATAGCATTTTTAGTAACGGGACTGGACAGATTATTTATAATTTTTAGCCAAGCCAGCAAGACAAATTGTTTTGTTATTCATTCACGCAATTGCTGTTAATTTCTATTCATTATTCTAGTTTATTCGAAACAAGCTGTATTCACATCGGTATTGTAGGCGGTTGGCATTTACATTTATTTAAAAATTTACAACAACTTTTTCTAAGCCTAATCAGCCTAATTATGATACTGATTGCAATCGCCGTGAGGAAATGAGGCATTGGCATTTGCCATTACTGTATTTGGCATTCGGAGCAATTTTGACATTTATTGTTGCAAGGATAATGATGATAACTCTAGCAAATGAAAGCGTTTTATGTCAACATGGCCTGCGATCGTAATATGCGATATAAATAGTATAGGTTACTGCAGTTTATGTTGATAATATAAATGTTGCGTTGCCCAAGCCCGGTGGACTAAAAGAATCACCGATAGATCCGAACTGGGCAAAACAACGTTTTTTGGCCTCACCATCATCATCGTCGCCGCCGCCGTCATCAGATCGTTATCATTATATCGTCTTCACCATTCCTGCACCACAATCTTCAGTAGCATCGTCTTAGTCATTATTATCATCGTCGTCATTACACAGCCATCAGCATGATCATCAACGTCATCTTCACACGGACATCAGCACCATAACCATCATCGCAATTCGGATCATCATCACTCACCATAACAGTATCATCGTCGTTATCACACCATCGTCAACAACAGTAGCAACATCATATTCGTCATCATCACAACCAGTAGAAGCATCATCACATTCGTCGAATCATAAATGTCATTATCGACATAGTCGCCACCATCGTCATCATCATCATTATCATCATCAACAATGGCCCCGCCCCCCCCCCCCCAATCAGTCACCCCGTCGGGGAAACCCTGTCACTGCCATTAGTCACTGCGTCAATTATTTATGAACAATCATTAAAGCATTTTGGCATCCGATGAGTTGCACTTAAGTGGTTTGAAAGCAATTTATATCAAGTTTACTCATTGATGCACAAGAGACATTAAATGTAGAATCCCACAAGATTCGACTTTAGATCCTCCTTTTTATCCTGTAAGATTAGGCAAATCATGTTTTAAACATTCTGATATTTCATCTATAATTCTCGAAAAGAGCTTAATGTATCTAGGCGTCTTTAAATGGCGGGGGTTGGGGTGGGAGGTGGAGTGAGGAATCGATTATTAACTAAGGGATGCTAGCTCGCAAAATAAGGTGATATGATGTGATTTTTATCTACTTTAGCGTGTTTTTTTTTTGTTGCTGGGTGGGAGAAAACTGGGGAGCCAACTGTTTTAGTGATGGGGGGGGGGGGGGGGGGGGGGGGGGAGTGCACCGTCCCGCCACCGATAGACACGCCACAGTGTAAATGAGATAAATCTTGCAACGCCTCTTTATCATGATTGTTGTTAAAACGGAACCCACCGGCGTAAAAACAGTACACAGTATTTTATTGTTTTTTTATGTTTCCCTGACAAAGCAAGACATTTTGTCTGACCTTTTAGTAAGTTATTTTTAGTTCGTACCTATGGGTCAAGGTTAACATCAGCGATCGTCTCGGCGGCTTTTGAACAAAATGTAATAATAGGTCTGAAATGGAGAGGTATTAAAAATATTAATTAATTATACAGTGAAATTGTAATTTCACTGTTCCCTGATAATACTAATACATCCCGATCTACCGTAGGTCATGGAGAGGTCACCCTTGAATAAGCCTAATCAATTGATACTTATGATTAAAAAGATTTAAACAGATTAGGCTAAGCATATGAAATAATGATAAATTTAACATCTCAATTAACTTTGTGCGGACGTGTGCTTTTGTTATATTAATGGGACTGGACTTGTACAGTTACATGCTCCGTTAAATTCTTGGCTATTGGCTACACAACGTTCGTCTGCAATATGGTTTGAACAATGTAGGCCTAACCTGAAAATGACAAAAATTCATTTAAAAAAAAAATTTGAAATTAACATACTCACAATGCAGTAACATACAAATTATTAACTTGAGCATAGAAATTATTGAATTAAAAAATGTGTACCCTGATTTTTAAAATGGAAAATAATAATAAAAAATAGTAAAGTACTTCCAGTGACTGGCAGTGTTTCTATCATTTTGTCGCTGTAAAATTTTGTGCAAATTTTTATTTCAAACTGAGCAAGCTAATTTAAAAAATGATTGATGATTTCTTTTGGTATTTTGTATGGGACAATGTTATCCACAGTGTCAACATAAATGACAAAACCTTCACATGTATAAGGATGGGTTCTTATAGGTCTATATCTAAATTGCGTTTACTTTTCTCAATTATAAGTCATAATTTGGTCTGAGTTCTATATAGGCCTAGCTAGGCCTGAACAGGTTTTTCCTTGTCTGTACCAAAGTGGAAGGACTGTAAACCTATTATTTTTGGGCCTGAATATCTGATCACAGACCTCACATAGGGATGTAGTATTATTTAGGTTTGTAAAATACTGACTAAACAAACGTATTTCATATAGCTAATTAACCTTTGTTAATTTCTATTTAAGATGATAGTAATGATTAAATTATGATTGATAATAACCATAATACTGTAATAATGAAAAATGTAATCGTAACAACAAAGACAACGATGATGATGATAATGGTGTTGATAATAATGAGGATATTATTTATTTTGTCGAATTCGATCTCTTGACGAGATGGCGTGCTGTATTTGTTAAATCGATGTACGAAGTAATCAAAAAGAATGTAAAAAGTGAAAATTCGTGTACGGAGCTTGATTTTCGGTGCCGAATAAATGCCAACCATGTTGGAAAATTGTAATGCAGTGCATAATTACCGTAACAATCATTTCCCTTGAATCCTAAAAATAAAAGTGTGAAAGCACGTGGGGGCGCTACATTAGAAATTTACGTTGTCTGTTCAGGACGAAGTTAGAATATTTATTTGTATTATTCGAGATTATACTTCACGGTTCTTTCACTACAGCTGAAGCAACCAGAAGCGGGTATAAGAAATCGAAAAAAAAGTGAATACGTGGGGGAAATTTAATGAATATATAAATATGGCAATAAGGAAATTCAGTACAGGACTTAAGGACCTACTGTGCCTGCAGAGTGCGGGGGGAATGCTACAATGGTCCGTCCACCGGGAGAAAAATACTTTACTGGGATATTTTTGGTCCATGTTTTTGTGGTACTATGCAAAGAGGCCCAACGGCTTAGCGCCTCATCCGTATTTCTCCCAAGGAACTCAAGTGTACAAAGGAAGAACTGGCAGGTTTCACCAGTGTCATCAGCGGCGACAGGCTGTTGGAAATACATTCAAGCCTCCGCAGGCTAATTTTAGGAACGACGCTCAGGTATTTAATATCAATCAAAACGTTGTCATGGTGACAGTTGTCTAGCAAGCAGTAGGATTTAAGAGGGTCAAGAATGACGTTTACGAGGAGTGGCGATAGACCAACGATTCCTTTAACTCCTAACTGAAGGATTAATTTGTTATCTATAGTAAGGTATGCGACACTTAAAAAAGTATGATCGTCTTTCGCAGAAAGAATTTAATTTTCACGGTTAAAAATTTTTTTCTCACGATTTTGTTATCATTGCTTAATGATATCCAATTCAATCTATATATTTAATGTATTAAATATGTTAATCAGTGACAGAAAAAAAAATTAACTAAAATATAAAAACCAATACTTTACATTTAGGATATTCAATGTAGAGGGCGTTCGACCGAGTTTATTGGAGCATAGCCAAGTGGATAGTGATTAAAATCATAATGTAATTAATGAAACCTGTAATAAAATGCATTTCAATAAAATTACAATAAGATACCTAATTAACCAACGATTTTAATTAAAACGCCTTCAATTTGTAGAGCTTTTTTTTTCTGTCGCGAATATTTTTTGTAGCGAACTATTATGACACCGGATTGTGCGTTTGTGTACGTCCATAAACGTAAAATCAGCGAGGATTGGGTATTTGGTCTTGAAAAGGGTGCAGTTTAACTAGCGACAGCTTGCGTCTGCATAGAGTTCGCGTAATCTGACAGGGTCGTACACCACACGAATCCTGCAACAGACCAAGTAAGTATAGTATAAGTCGGAAACAAAAGAGAGGAAGACAGTGGATTCAGAATAATGAATGGATTGATAAACGGGGTAAGGATGACATGACAGGTTGTTGTTTTTCAGTAGTGTATGTATGTATGTAAATATGTATATATATATATATATATATATATATATAATGTATATACATATACATATATGTATATACAGCGTTACCGTATTATAGATTAGATGTACCAGAGGCAAATGATTTTAGTTGAAATATAGGGCCTACCTCTATATACCACTGAGGCTTGTGATTTATAGATGATGTAGGCCTATAGGTCTCATAGTGTATGTATGCATAGTGTGTGGATACCGGCATTTTACTGTAAACGAAAGCTTTTCGATTTATTAAACCTAATTGTTGTTCATCCCAAAATAGAGGAATTTTCTCGCTGATAATCGTGATCGATCGTTTTTCATGGCCATGTGTTGATACGTAAACGATAAATCCTCCATGGTTCAACCTAGGATTTAGGTATCGATAAATTGCACCAGACTACAAAAAAGACGACGGGTCCCAGCCTATTCTAATTGTTGAAAATGAGCGTCGTCTTCTACCACCCAACAACACTTATCGATCTGGCGTATCGAATTTGTTGTGTAGGCCCATTCAAATTATGTTTATGAAAATTCGATTACGGCCAATAAAATATTGGACTAATATTAGTGAACAAAATATATGACAATGCCAAGACATTTTATAATAATGGAAATTCCTACGATTTGTCCTTCGGCTTCGCGCGTTTGGCACGTCCGTTATCACAGAATTGGTCAGTCGTAAAACACTGCCACATGTTCGTGATAAATAGCGGTGCTCATCGATTTTATTGCGTTGAATGCGTTAATAATAGTTTCCAGTAAGGTCAATAGTGTGTAGCTTACAACTAACTAGTATCTATAGGGCTATTTATCTACTTTTGGAATAGGTAGGTCTAAATTAAAACATAGCCTATTTATGATTTTTAATCGACAGCCATGTGGTGACGCCGGCTCAGACATAGGGTGAATGAAACGTCCACCTTAACCCCACCATCATCGGGCCGAATATGAGCAAATTTTACACATGATTACATACTACAGTATATTAATTGTATCATTTACAGCGCTATTATTTTCATGAAAAGTCCCATACATAATACGTGTCTGAGCTGCCCGGAAACCGGTCAGAGATCTCGTCTGCTGTCCACAACAGGGGCCGCCTCAAGAACCATAGGCGTGCGTGCCGTTCGAACCAGCGTCGCCGCTTTTAGTTGCGGTGCCCCTGCCTTAACCGCTCGGCCATTCGACTCGCTAAATTTAGTGAATAAACACAGTGAAGTAGCCCAAAAATGGCCTCGGAATGTCAATATGGTTTTCAAAGCAGTGTTTCATGACGAAATGATTGGTTTCCCCCGACGGAGAGTACCAGGTTCACCGACAGGGGCCCTGTTCTTCATCCTATGATTCCACCACTTAAATCGTATTACAGTATGACCGCCTCGGTTTAGGCCTATTCAATGCAATGTAGGCCTACACAGGACAATAAACGATGTGAATGAAATTAATGGTTTCAGTTCCCTTTTTGTTCATGACGGTTGTCCGGGTTGAGAAAAGAATTCAATGGATCTAGTTGACGATGAACAGATCTTAAGTGACACTTTAGGTTTCAAAAGTTAATTCTAGGTTTAGCGAGGAATGCAAGCGAGTTTATTAAAATCTCATAGCCGGTCCGTGTGACTCACTCACTCCAGAGATTTCAATTGGATAAAATGTTATTTTTCTGGAATCGCTTAAAAACCAATCGAAATAAAATCAGCAGTAGGACCCATCATATATTAATGTGTACTTATTTGGTAATAGGATCGAGCTTCCAGACACTTTTCGATGGTTGGTTATCAAAAGTTTTTTTGGGCTACAAATGAGGAAATAATTTATTTGAGTCCGATGTCGCTTCACCTCAATTATACTATCTTTCCGAACCCCCCACCCCCGAAACTATTATTATTATATTATTTATATAGCGCCTCTTTCTTTATTGTTTGAGTCCTCAGTATACTGTACTCGAGTTTTTTTGCCAACATTTGTCAAAGGTCTTTCAAAACTATTAATTATTTAAATAATAAATACGGTACAGCAAAGGCGGTTTATACAAATCTATGCTACAATATAATAAATGAATAAATGAAATCAGTGATGCGTGATGTATTGTATTCATTAACGAGTACCTAGTATAAGGAAGCGTTATTTGAAAGCTAACTGGTTCATTGACTGCAGTACGGACACAACACACAACAGTATACAATAGTGTTTTTACAGAATTACAGCGGACAGTTTAATCTATTATCATTTTAAGTGCGAATGAAACCTACTGTTTCAGGTAAGAAAATTACTTGTAATATAGAAAACATAGGCACGCTATCACCAAAGAACCGATCGCGATCTGTGACGTCGTGAAGACATTGGGCGGGACAGAAACTAACGGTAATACGGTAGTTTACTTTCATTTTAGCGTGTATAAAATTATCATTGTGTAATAGTATGTTAAGCCGGAAATGCCAACATGTTTTAGGCCTGCAGAACGAACGTAGTTCTATAATACATATTTAATTAATACAGAAATACCAAATCTAGAAGCTCGCTGTTCATTAATAATAAAACGTTATGGATCACGGAAATCGGAGATAGACGGTTTAGGTACAGGTATGTTGAGATGATACTCGACGATGCCAGTTGTTGCAATACAATTGCTTTAAAAAAAACAAAAACAAAAAAAAACAAAAAAACTCGAGGCTAGGAAGGTGAGGTAGAAAGAGTTTAATTTATTTGTAGCAGATACAAACTCTCAGAGTTTATCACCACGCTAATCCATCATCAGATGATATTAAAGTAGGCCAATATATTTTATCTCCAACTGATCGAGTTATGTGAAAGAAAACCGTCTCTGACTACGAGTTCCGATATCATGCGCAAAGGTGCGGCCAACCAGAATGCAAGTTACTAAAAGATGAATAATAAAACGACAATAGGCCTATAGAGAAATGAACGTACTGTATTGTTTGTTAACATAGGGAAAAGAACACCTAGAAAAGTAAGGGTTTTTGAGACCCCTATAATATACGACTGGGCCTTTAGTTCAACAAAAAAGATAATTTTTATTCAACTCTATGAAGCGACTCTTCCTCCTAGCCTTGTTGGCTGTTCTTAACATCTTGTCGATCGGAATCAGTGAATCATTATCAACATCACATCCTTTCTATCTCCATGATCTGTTTTCCCAGCATCAGGTTTTATTGATATTTTTCAACAGATGCATATTGAATAAACCTATTAATAAAAAAATTAATCATGATGCAATGCGATCGCTGTTTTCAACTTATAATAATTAAATAATTCTCATCAGTTGCTGTAATGGAAAATTGTATTGCATAATAAATTGCCTATCTGCGTCGTAAATCAATGATCCGTTGCCATAAATTCTAAGCTTTACCCTGTAACGCGACTCATTTAGCGACATTATCATATTACAGAATAGATAAAACTAGGTTAATGTCTTCATGTACAATGTGTATTTTTTTTACAACATTGATCGTTTTTTTTTTTTTTTTTTTTTTTTTTCTATTTTTGGTTTTTTTTTTTTTTTTTTTTTTTTTTTTTGACTATTTCTGGTTTATTGTTGTATTGATAAAGGAGATTGTATTGAGAAAAACACTATTTGCACTTACTCGATGGTTTACTTTTGTTAAAGATGTCAACAAGAAATGTATCGTAACTATTATCGTCCACAGAGCCTTACGAAAGGCCCACGTAGCACAGTACGTTTGTTCTGAATCAATATTTAAATTTCTTGAAGTTGGATGATTGATGGTCGGTCATTGTAAAATTGAACTTGAGGGCGTGGTTAAATACAGCACCATGACATGAAATTAAATACAATCAAGCGGAAAAGTAAAATTGTTTAAAAAGACGTCGCAAAAGGGTCTCTTGTTGAAGGTTTTTCGAGGGTGGGTTTATTTTTGTATGGGATTAATGCACCATCTAATCTTTTGTTATTTTTTGTATTTTTACAGGAGGTCTGCGAATTCGATATTGATCCTTCAGAGCTTGAAGATAACCCTCAGAACGATATGATTCCAGTAGAATACGGCGAGACAACTACTATAATACCAAGGCCTGCGTATGAACAATATACGCACGGCTGTCGGTTGAACATCGTGGGCGAGCAGCGATTTAAAGAAGAGGTAGAGATTCGGCCGGGAATTCGACAAAAATATTACAACACAACCTCTTTTATTTATCCCGAAAGTACCAGAAGGCGCTATATAACTTCCATACAATTTATCCCAGGACTGCAACCTAAACACTATACATCGACAGTATATGCGTTCCCAAAATGGGCGCAAAAGACATATTTAAGTTCTGTGAAACATCACGATGCGCAGACGATAAAATGGTACAAGTGTTCTGTACAGATGGAGACTAGAGACTTTATATCTGTGAAGCTTATACACGTTTCTTAAGAATTGTATCTTGTTACCCATGGGAATGGTTTTTATGGCGGAAAAACGATGTTCATGGAATGTAAAATGTAAACTCAACACTGCATATCGCTTAATCATGCGTGACGAGATGACTGTATAAACAATGTTCTTAAAATAGCTACGCATACAAATTATTACAATAACGCAATTTTTATCGATGAAATAGTGACGTCATATATTGAATGCTTCTGGGCTATGAGATGCTTTAGCAGACAATGTACTGCTTGTCTCGAACTCTGTAGCCTGGCTGATCAATATTTATGATCTGGAAAGTATTATCATTATTATTATTATTGTTCTCATAGTATATTCTGGCTGGAGTAATTTAAACAAGAAAATGGAAATTTCAACTGACAATACTTATTCATATTCACATGAAAATATTTAGCTTGGACCAATTTTTCTTTGGAATTCTGCAATCAAATACTGAATCAAGAAAACCAGGAAAAGAAAAAAAAACATTTGTAAAATTTCTCTTGTGAAATTTATTGCAAAGAATATGCAAGATAAAATATCTGAAATATTGAGAGTTGAAGGACCAATGTAAAATGACTTTTTAAAATCGTTTAGTAATGATTATCATGCATTTTTATAAAACTGCTCAAAAGAACTTGTTGTTAAATGATTATTGGACATTACTTCCATACTACTTCCAAAAGTGATCATTGAGCATAGATGCAGACATCAGCAGTCCCACACTGTCGCAGACCATGACCTGCACTCTTGTTTTGCAGTGCCATGCCAAGTTCCGAAACATACTGTACTATGGAAGATTTGAAGGACCAATGTGAAATGATATTTTAAAATCGTTTGGTTAAGATTATCATGCATTTTATAAAACTGTTCAAAAGAACTTGTTAAATGATTTATTTGATATACTTCCATGTTTTTTCCAAAAGTGATCACTAATGTAGCTCTTTATATGCAGACATGGTCTATTCCTGACCATGATCTGCACTGTTGTTATGTAGTGCCATCAAGTTGTTCCCAGACCATTTTGAACTGTTGCCGTGGTGCCTAACATCATTAGGTGGTTCTAATACAGCCGCAGACCATTGTGGCATGTGACGTTACCTAGCTGTCTATCATCCAAGATGATTGCAACATAATCAACTGGTTTCAATATCACTCCAGACAGATGACCGGTGTAATAACATCAAAGAGGATTAAATTTCTTGTATTTCTTAGCCATCAAGCTCATCTAACAGGGTCTTCCTCGATAATTTCTTCTTTGGTCCCCCTGAAGACAGTAGTAAATAAATAAATAAATATTAACTATCCACCACATACATAGATCCTACGCACCTGATTTATTAAAACTTTTTGTATCACAAATGATATACACCACTTTAACAGGTCTACAGTATTTTGAAACAGCGCCACAAATGTCTCGCAACTTTTCGCTGGGTTATTGCAACTTTTCCAGGTTATCGGAAAATTTCATTTCAAATTTGGCGAAAATGGTGTATAAAAAATGTGCCAAAACAATTAGTTTTTGGACAAAGCATAGCATACACTGATGCAAAGCATAAGTTACAAATTAGCTCATATTTGAGTTTTGTTATACAGTGCCACCAGTAAGCGGAGCGAGATGTTGCAGTCTGGAAAAAAATATATTCATAGTCGTATATGAAAACATGCTTTTTGAGTCTATGTATGTGGTACATCAAACAAATATTGACTGCTTTTTTTTTTTAGGTAATGGTTATACTGTAACTAGATCCCCGCAATGACTTAGAGACTACTGGACTGTACTTTGTCCTTTGACCCTTGAAAGCACCTTGGGGTTATAGTTTGACTGAACCATTTTCTTCACAGCAGTCAATATTTGTTAACTGTATAACCTACTATTTATAAACAGAACAGATATCAGTACATATCATAAATATATTATTTTGTTGTAAATTATTTTTACCTCAGTCATTTTCTTAGCCATATCGTAGTTTAAATTAAGTATCAAATTGTTTACTTCAATTATAAAAACTCTGTTGTACAATTTGTCTTTCTATGGTTATTTATCAATAAATATATAATAAACCATGTCCAGTTTTTGTGTTGAGCATTTATCACTTATTCTTATTCTTTTATTTCCAATTAAAACAGACAAAACACATAAAATCAACTGGGTGAGCTGGATGGAAACACTAAAGCGAACTTAATCACTGTGACTAATGTCAGTGTTTCCCACTCACCCAGTTTCA